GGTACCTCGTTGGGTCGAGAAAGTCTGAACCACTGCTGCCACTGCTTCAAAATGTTTCAAACTGTAAAAAAGCAAAAGCGGCTGCAAAATGCTGCAAATACCTTCTTGTTCAAGAAAAAGTTTGCAGCTTGCAGCTCAAATTAAGACTGTACAGACTGAACACAAACACTTATATATTGAAACGCTCAGGCTCAAACACGAATCTCGGTGATAATGCTCTCTTGTATGAGGCTCCCAGCACAGGAATCACAGGAATCACTATCAACGTTTTTGACAATCACCGGGCCTTCTGAATCCTCATCTGATCGATCTGATTGATCTTCCTCTGTTGCTCGAGGAATTTGGGCTACAAGCCAGTCGTCCTCAGTGGGGGCGGTGAAGCCAATGCACTGGGGGCCCTCCAGATCCGGAGCATCCGGCGCATCCCCAATATCCTCCGGAATCCAGTAGCTTCTGTGCACCTCGACACGTAAACTGCGAGAATGCGCGGCCTTTGGCAGCGGGGGGTATTTTTTGGGAACTTGACTGCTTTTGAAGCGTATTATCCGCCCAATATATCCATCCACACATCCCCAATGAAATCTGAATAACAAATCGCGGGCGTTTGTCAAGGCTAATTTCGGGGCGCTTTGAACTGCCAGCTCCGAAGGTCCTTTGAACATCTTGGAACTCAGAAAAACGTTTATATTAATTCCTCTGCAGCCAGGCCACTTTCCGGCTGCATGTGACTGCAAGGGTTGCAAGGCTTGCGAGTACCAATGCCATTAGCAAAGGCAAAATGATCAGATCCTGGCAACGGAGCCGAACTTATCGAACCTTCCATACCACAGCTGGTTTGATGAGGTTTCATGAGGTTTGATACACCGTCTGATATGAGGATTTGGATGGATTTGGGCCATTTTCAGTTTCGGTCTTTGTGTTTGTGTGCCGTTTTAGAGCTTACATGTGTTTATCTGTTTGGCCGTCAACTTCAAGCAATGGATCCTGAAGCAATGTCACACCACAACTCTCCAGCCATTCAGCCGCATCTTCAACTGAGACATTGGCAAGGAAGCTCAGGCAATACCTGACTGCAAGAGAAACGCCAAATGATACACTGTCTGTAAGATTGTGATTCCGGGATGCCCCCCGTTTCTCAAAGCCGTTGGCAAATCAAATCGTCAACCGTTGGACTTTGTAGAGCCCAAGTACAACAGGCATGTGCCAATGTGAACTGTGGAGATGCTCCAGAAAACCACACTTCTGCACCGCCATCTTCTGCGATAGTTCTCTTTCAATTCGTCTGTCCACTCAACTTCCGGCTTCGGCTGACGCAGTTGCACGAAAAACAAAAAGAAACTCACAGCATCGCCTCAGAACATCACCGAGGTGATGAGGCGCTCGTGTTTCCGAATATGTTTCTGACAAGTACTTGGCGCCCGAACTCATTGCGTGGATACATTTGGGGCATCAACTTCTTAAGCAAAGACTGGTGATTCTCAATGTTTCCAACCAGTGCGAAACATCAATAGCATTCAATCACTTTGGATCTTTGGGGGTCTGTGGATCACCTAAATACAATGCTGGATATGAAAACACACACACACATGCACACACCGCTTCCCACTGAACACCGATGAAACAGGAAGGGTGACCCCTTGTCATTGACTTTACCAATCCCCAGGCCCTTGGCGGGTTTAGGCTGGTGGAAAGGCCCTTTTGGCTTCGGCGAAAATCTGGGTTCAAATGCCTGGGAAAACAAGGGGAAAGCAAACAGCCAGAATAATCAAAACTCCCCCTCAAGAGAAAATGAGCTGATGGACGCGGGCTAGTGAGGCCTGGAGGTTGCAAAAAAAAACGGTTCCGGTTCATTGTGATTTTCATGGCCCACAAATGAACTTACAAATGGGACTTGGGATGCCCACAACTCCAACAGAAACTTGAAATTGTCAGACCATGTCTCCGAGGAAGGCGGACAAAACGCCCACCGTGACATTCTGGACCATCTCCCTCCACAGTTCCTCTGGCTGCTCACACTCAGGGTCGGAGTCTGGTGTCTCTGCTTCGCTGGAGAAGAATAAGGCAGCGGCGGCCGCAGCACTGATCCTTGGCTCCACGGAAAAGCGGTAATTATGTGTGCGGCGAGAGGTCTTCACTCCAAATGCAAAGAAAACAAATTTCATCAAGTTTCTCTTGGGCAATATGTCTACATCGTCTACAAGGATTTGATCCAAACACATTTGATCACGGTCGCACTTGCAGCAAGACTAGAATTCCCAAGTTCTTCTCCATCGCAGCCATTGCAAGCCAATTTGTTGGTTTCAGACTCCCACTGCAAACTTTGCTTTCAAAAAAAATCGGCAGATAACAAAAACGGTAATCTCAGAATGTTTCTGAGCAAACCAAAAATGACAAAATTATGCGAAATTCTTATTCACGCACCAATGCCCAACGTTCTAAAACACTGTTTGCGTTGACCTTGCCGACCCCATTCAAGTTGTGCCCGCCTTGTGGCAGAAGGTTCCATCGAATAAATCATCGAATCATCACCCCTTGAATTCCTACAAAATTAATTATAGCTGATCAGCATTCCACAACCTCGTTTGGACCAAGATTCAGCTTCATGAGAATCAGCGTTGTCCGAGTGGTATGTGAAGTGAAAATACTGATTCTTGTATTCTCCGCCCAAGGATGCAGGGCTGGAAACAGCAAGCGAAGCCTTGCGAACCTTGGACCATCAGAGCTTTGGGTGCTATCGGGCATCTGTGCGGCACAAAATTAGGTGCTGATTGGCTGTTTCGTAAGCGCACTGAACACGTTGGTAATTTGTCCTGTCCTTTGAAGGATGTCTCTTGGAGTAATAAGGAGCATCTTTTTGTCACGAGATTTGGTGGTGCTTTGCTGCTTCCAAGCGCACTGAACAAGTTAAAACCTCAATCTCAATTTTTCATCAGGTGTTAGAAGTAACGTTAGGCATGTTAGGCGTTTTTTGCGGTCCTTTGAAGCACGTCTCTTCTCGCAGTAGCGAGCATCTTTTCGTCAAACCCTTGGGGCATGGCCGGCCGCCAACCCTCGGGGCTCCCCAAAAACAACAAGAATCCTTCTACTAGGTGGGGAAAAGCTTCTTCGACGGAATCCGGTTTACCTGTAGCATTTTTTAAACTCAAAAACAGCGCCGTTTTATCACATGTTTCGGACGATGTTTGGCTTTCGAAAGCAACAACACACTGTAAATTACAATGTTCTTCTGCTGTAGGGACAGTGCAAAAAGGCAAAACATGCCACAAATACTATATAATGTTTTTGGAAGCTAAGCAGAGATGCAAAAAAAAAAATACCAGTGTTTTTGAAGGCAAAACAAAAAAGAACTGTAAATTACAATGCTACTATTGCGCTTTTTGCGGGTTGACCGCACACAAAAACTGGTATTTACACGATGTTTGCTGTCAAGAAAAAGTGGAATGCATGAAACACTGCTTTTGGACGTTGAAACGCTGGTATTTACGCACTTTTTTTCGCGTGATGGCGCCGAAAGCCTGCAAATCATCATGACCCTAAAGACCGCTGGTGCTTACGTTTTGAAAAAATCGAAAACCGTGACTTGCAAGAAACCATGTAAATAACAGTGTTTTGGCCACTTTCGCGGGCTAAAACTGTGACTTTACGCAAGTCTCTGCCATCTTACAGCGCAAAATGGTATAATCACAACACTTTGTGCACTTTTTATTTTATTTTCACGTTTTGAATCAGTGCTGCTCTTCACATTCTTCAGCAAGAAACAATGCAAACAGATTGAAACACACCTTCTTGACCTGCTAAAAAGAAAGAGAACCGAAAGTTCCAGAGTTCCAATACCATGAACATGTTCGAAAAGCAAGTCCTCAAACAGCAAATAGCCTTTGAAGCCCCTGCGATGAAATGACCACTGACCTCCTCATAACTCAGTCGCTTTACTCCCCAAAATGTCCATACCAGGTGCCAAATGTCCAGCAAATGTCCAGGCACTGTTGGCAAAACCAACCAGAAATTTAAAGAACCTAGTTGCAATCATCTACATGATAAAATCGATTGTCAAGGTGCGGATATGTATAAAATGTACAGTCGGCAATCATGTTTGTAGCCGGGATCGGACATATGTGCGACACTTCGGACCATTCTCTCCCTGAATAATTGTTCTGAGGTGCCCAGAATCACAAGACCAAGGGCAATCCGAAAATTTCAGGTATTTGAAATATTTTGAAGTATTTTGAAGTATTTGCGTACAAAATGCTTACGGCTTACATAACATTTACAAAACGCTCCGCGTAGCCTACCTAGCCTACCCTTGCACACTGTGTAGCCTCTCGCGGAGAAATGCTCCGCGCAACCCACCTTTCAACCGCACCGGATAGCCTCTCCAGAAAAAAAACACTACTTAAAATATCTTAAAATATGCTGCTGCTGGCATATCATCTTCAAAGTTGAAATGATCATAACTGGTGCTTTCCATTTTAGTCAAAGGCCATGAACTGGACAAAAATGTATCCACTGCCCATTTCCACTGATTGTTGATCTCGGTCTCCGTGAGGCTCTGCCGCTTGGCTTGAACCGAATGCGTCGGTTGACCTTATTGAAGCATTACATTGCCGAAGCGTACATTCCAGCCCCATGCGGTGAAAGCTGGAAGTGCCTGCTTTCAAGTACTTCAACATCTCTTTTGATAACCTTTGGGTCTTGTACCCAAACAGACAAAGAACATGTCTTATCACTCTGTTGTAAAGGAGTGCGTGATTTCAGATCGTCAGGAAGTCAAAGGAAATTCTTGCATTTGCCGTTACCTTCAAGCAGAAACTTCTTGACCTTCATGCAGCTGTGCGGCTTGAATCAATCCTCACACTGGATTGAGGTTTCAAATGATTCAAAATGTTTGTGTATATATATATATTGAATTATTATACTCTGTGTGTGTGCGTTTGCGCGAGTCATGAAGTTTTCGTGATGATGAGCTCTTGAAGCTACAAAACCTCGCGAACGTGTTTGCCAACTCCGACTCCTCAGAATTGCTTGCTCGACAAAGACAAAGTGGCTACAGAGTATATGCCAGTAGAAATGGTTTGACCCTTGATGTTTCAAAGTAGGTTTCGCAATGCTTCACTGTCTTCCACTGGCTGAGTCCTGTCTTCTCCAGCCAAGACTTTGGTGATGTCACCGACTGCATGAAGGCTGTCTCTCGAGGTGCCTGTCTTGTGCGCATGGATCTGTTCGATGCAGCGGTCCACCACACCCACGGCAGCCTGGGCGGGTACGTGGCGGGATATCAACCTGCGACGCATAAGTCCGCGACTCACACCATGCGCATGTCTCTGGCAACTTGAAAGCTGTTGGTCTGGTCGCAATCCCATGCTCTCAGTCTGCTTCCAAATCTGCTACTCAATCTGCTCCTCAGTCCAGTACTCAGTCTGCTCCTTAGTCTGCTACTCAATCTGCTACTCAGTCTGCTTCCCAACCTGCTCTGCAATCTGCCACTCGGTCTGCTACTCAGTCTGCTACCTAATCTTCTACTCAGTCTGCTACCCATGCAGCTACTCAGTCTGCTACCAAGTCTGCTACTCAGTCTGCTGCTCAGTCTGCTACCCAGTCTGCTCCTGAGTCTGCCTTCCAATCTGCTCCTCAATCGGCCACTCAGTCTGCCGCCCACTGCCCCAGTCTGCTACCCCGTCTGCTCTTCAGTCTGCTACCTAGTCTGCTACTCAGTGCTCCCCAGTCTGCTACTCAGTCTGCTCCTCAGAAACGACAGAGAATAGTTCGACAAATCTCCACAACTACTTATGTCATGGCTAGTCCAGAATTCCCAGCTTAGTGGTTTGGGAAAAAAACAGGGCCGGCTTCCAAATCATGCAAGGCATGGACATTGAGAGTGAACCCTTGCCAAACCATGCTTCTGGGAGCGTGTGGCTGAATCAGTTAATATGTAGATCGACGAAAGCTGTAAATCAATTTTCTTGCTTTTCATGGAACCATGTTGGACACACAGATTCCCGACAAAAGAATATATAAAGAAACCTCGAACCCACCTGCAACCAACCTGCCCTTCGGCTGACCCAGCACCATCGTCCCTTCTGACGTGCAACATTTGGAAGTAGCTCCTTCACAACTTCAGCGAGGTTTTCGAATCCAAAGAGCCTGAAATTCTGAGTGAGTTGTGGTGCCGGGAAATACTGGAAATTGGTGCCTGTTCGTTTGGATGCTATTAGACTTCTCCGTTGTGAATTGGAAGAATCCGTCCCGTGCCATTGGTCGCATTCGGTCGGCTCCCCCAAAAATATTTCGGCCCATTAGCCATGTAAAGCAGCGGTGCGGAGGATGTAAGAATGCCTATGGCTCTGATTGCACAACCCCACTTCAGAGCTTCGGTCCAACAAAATTGATTTCCACAGTATTTGTTGCACAGAAGAGCAATCACCCATATTGTCATCTTGTTGTTCCTCCATCAACGATGATTGCCTATCTACACTGATTATACCGTACATATATATATATATACACACAGAATTCCACGTGGTTCCCTAAAAAAATCATTCAGATTCATTAAAGTAAACCTTCAAAGCCTGGCAGCAGCCCGACGCACCACAGGAGCCATTCGCAACCAGACTGTATGCTCTCTTTGCAACCACCGCTACAGCACGTTTTCCCTTTCTCCTGCTACGGCACCGCTTACCCGAGAGTAGGGCAGTACAACTTCCACATGGCCCCTTCATTGTATGGCCAACATTCAATCTTGTACATGTCTGTATGCAAGGTGTGTATATATGTTCTTCATCCGGGTTATTCATTTCAATAAGATTGTAGCATGCGGTCACTGACATATAATCTTCATTAGGCCAGAGCAAGGTAAGTCGCAATCCTCGTCGAGCTGTGCGCTCCTTAGTACCGAACCAATATGATCTTGGAATGTGTCGAAATCGGTGGGAAAATACTATTGATTTTTGACCGTTCATATCATGCACATTTGGATTTGTTTCAATTCTGATGACCAGTTTATGTGAGCACCAAACCTTAAGCCGTCTTTCAAAAACATTGAAAATTGTAGAAACAATAACCAACTGATGTGCAGCAAAAGAAACAAGATAATAACGGGGACAAAACAAAACCAGAAAACACATCAGGAACGATAAACAAAAAGGAATACAGAAAAAACAAGGAAAAAAACAAAAAGGTACAAAACACCACAACAAAATATCACGTCGTGGACAATTGTGGAAAAGTCCGGGTTTCGGCAATTCTTTTCAAAGTGTGACAGTTGCGATTTGAAGATTTTTTTCCCTTGGCCAAAAGAGTCCTCTCTCCAACCCTCATGGTTTCTCATTCGTTTTTTTTGTTTTCTGTTATTGTTTATCGTTCTTTTTGTCAATTTGTTTCCAATGTTTTGTTTCCTCTTGACGGTCACCATATATAATCGCTCCTGAATTGCGTTTGCCCATTGGCAGGGCTGTACAAGAAACATGGTTTCCAACAGTGCCGCCTCAAGGTTGCCAGCATCAAGGGCTTGATGATGTTGGATGCACGATTTTCTTTTCTTGCGCAGTTGAGCTTGTAATTGGACACATTCCGCCATTGTTTTCGAGGCCGCTGCCTTGCTTATGTTTTTTTCAACCACCTCCGGCTAAAGACACCATATTCTGAAACACCCGGGACCCTACTCATAAAAACATCCACAAATCCGCCGGCCTGCCGGCGTGTCTGATTGGAAGGTGTTGTTGTTGTTTCTGCTCTTCGCTTGTACTTGTTCCTTTGTTCTCTTGCTGTGCGTTTTTGCTTCATCTGAATCAAGTCCCCCCTCTACCCCCCTCTTCCCTCCCCCCTCCCCGTTTTTTTTTTGGACCGAACCCTGCCAATATATAGCATGAATACTGAGAACAGTTTACATACGCTGTCAAGGCTCAAGAGAGAGATAAAGGTATAGCTTGCTGCACTGACTGACTATTGGCCGGGGCCGAGAGAGGAAAACTAGTGCTTGCAGCCTGGGAAGACGCTCTAGCTGATCCTATCAGGACGCTATTGCCCCTCTTCAAGTGCTAGCGGAGCTGTGATCCTGCGTTGCAGGCGAGCTCCAGGTAGAGCCCAATGATGGCAAGCCATGGCTTTGATGATGACTTCAACATTGTCGATGCAGATGGCTCATGGAACCAGTATGACCCTTACACAATGAGAAGAGCACCACAACAACCAGCAATTCAGATAACTCAGCAGATGGCCACGAAGGGTGCCCCTGCCTATGATGGAAGGACCAGTTTCTTTGCTTTTGAGGATGCATGGTGTGACATTACAGAGTTGGAACCTGAAAAACGTGGACCTGCGTTGAGGAACAGATAAGAAGGTGAAGCATCTCAGTACAAAAGGCTACTGAACAGAGAGTTGCTGAGAGGCCCAAACGATGGCGCGAACTATTTCAAAAGATTCTTGCGACCTCATTTCACCAAGGGATCCCAAACCATGTTCTTGTACCGATTCATGCAGTTCATGAAGCACAACAGAGGTACAATGGATTTACAGAGATGGATGACCAGATTTCAACTCACAGGAAATAGACTCATCGAGTCTTGGATGCATCTCTTACCAGATTTGGAGATTACCAGTCCAGAAGCAATTACGCATGTTGCGCGGCGGCGTCAAGCTCATGAAGCTAATCCGATGAACCAACCTCGCATTGCAGCAGCTACTCCAGGCGCAAAACCGCATGTCAATGTACCTTGGACAGATGAGCTGGCAACGGCAGCATTTTTGCAACCCAACGAAAACAGAAGGATAACAGAGAAGGGCATTTCCCTTAGGTGACAACTTGTCAGCATTGATTTTTGTAAGCCTGGCAGATTCGACGCAAGATCACAGGAACACACTCACAAGTATCATGACACATCGTGGAAGAACATGAGATCAGTACAATGTGCAAGAACTCAGAGGTTTATTCCTGGACATGTTTTGCACAACAAGAACAGCAGTTGACAATCCTATGATGCAACCATCTGGCATTGGACAGAGAAGATCGTGCCTCGTTCTGGATGAAGGTGAATTAGAAGGAACCGACGGCTATTGGGCCGAAGATGATGAAGATGGCGCAGAAGGTGGATACTTTAGAAGGTGTCTTCTGGGTTTTTGATGACGCTGGATGCACATGGTATCAGGGAAGGTTCCAAGGCAGACAGGCCAGAAGAGGCAAAGGCAAAAGAAGAAGAAAAGGAAAAGGAAAAGGCAGAGGAGGAAGAAGATTCTTCAGATCAATGAAAGGAAAAGGCTGAGGAAAAGGAAGAAAGAAAGGCCGCTCTCACATGGTGAGTGAAGAAGGATATGAAGGAGAATGGAATGAAGGAGATGAATGGAATGATTCATGGGATGAAGGCCTTTGGGTCGATGATCAGAACTGGAATGAAGGCTATTGGGCCTATGAAGATCTGTACTACATGGATGCATAGATATTTCCAGAAGAAAGGAAAAGCAAAAGGAAAGAAAGGCAACAAAGGCAAAGGATAATGAAGGCAAAGGAGGAAAACCAGGAGATGGAAAAGGAAAATCAAACTATGTTCAACCTTGACCTCGTCAACTCCTGCTTTGCAGAATTGCAGAATCAACAACAACAAGCTCATCTACTCTTCAGCAGCATCAAGCTCAGGGCATGGTTTTCTTGCATTTGCTGAGACTGACCGTGTGGATGCCTTGACAGCCACCTATGAAGAGCAAGAGTACAAGAGACGTACACGTCCAGGACAGAACCAACGTGATGCGGTGGCACGGCAAAACAGAGAAGAAGGAAATAGGTTTCCTGTTTTGGTTGGAGAAGTTGGAGCACTTCGATCAGCTCTACAACGACAACCAGCGCCAGTGCCAGAGAAGTTGGCTTGCAGAACAGTGAGGCTTCATGGAAGCCATTGGAGCGAGGCACCTCATTGTTTATGCATGGATACTCTGAAAACATGGAGATACCATATCAGTCTGAATGATCTGCAAACACAGAGGTATCAGCTGAGGATAAACACGTTTTTCGTTTCATGCCACACAGCCTGTTCAAGCATGTGAGACTGGACCAGCTTTTCGCACAGAGAACTCTGCGCCATCAACTGTATGGGTCCTTGACCTTGGATGCAACTACGCCTGTCTTCTCTGCTACGTCTTTCTCCGCTTTCCCCCTAGCGCACACATCAACTTCTGTCCCTTGCGGCATTTTCTCTCTGCGGTTACGCCGAAGGCTCATATTAAATATCAAGTAGGCGACTTGTGGCTCATATATCCTACCTGTCTGCCACCAAGCCGAAAGCTCACTCGCTCTTCCCAGGTACTAAATTCCAGGTCATGCGAAATGCAAGCGTATACCCGAATCCAAAAGATCCCCAGTGACGCATGCTACTTGGCTATGGCCGGCGGGCTTGCCGCAGGCAATTAAATATCTTCAAGAAGGCCTGATGCTTTGCTGCTAGGGGATGTTACTGTGGTTGAAAAACTGCTTGTTTCTCGTTTACTTCTGGTTGTCTCCCGGCTTCTTTCTGAACGTCATTTTCATACAAATTTTGCTGTTATCGGCTATGAGCAAACAAAGAAACAACGCATATCCCAGGAAAAGGAGAAAACCAATCTCGGAAACCAAGGATCTCGAGATCATCTCCTTCTTCTTCTTTGTTTGGTTCCTTCAATGGCCAGAACGCTGCTTCCTTGTCTTTGTCGGGGAAATATCTGCTGTCTTTTCTGTCCATCCGCAGCGATATCAAGAAGAACAGAGTGAAGAGCAACAGCAAAGAAAAGGTCACCAGCGAAGGACCTTGCCAGAGCCATTCAGTCTTGAACAAATTCCTTAGCTGCTCCGGGAAAACTGTTCTTGATCAAACATAGACATGGAAATCCCGCGACCTCTTCGTCGCCAATCATCAACATGAATCAATCAATACTTTATGTTGTGATTGATCAGAACCACGATATAGACACAACTTTAACTACGTTAAAGTGTTCTAAGCTATGAGGTGGAAATGAGATCTTCTCGTGCAAACCTTTGTGTGCCCCTGACACGACCTGAGTGAAAGCTTGCACACGGCCATTTTGTCGATGTCAGCTTGTGAGCTTGGGCTAGCTCCCACTGGCAACGCCTTTGATACTATATTACAATGTTATTTTTCATATATATATATATGTGTGTGTGTCATATAACTATATATTATAAAAACATGATACAGCTATATATTTATATACATTTTCAATACACGTTGATAATATACTTTGCGGGGGTGTGGGTGGCCCAATCTTTTTGTTCTTCCCTACCAAAGGTGTATAAATACTGGAACTGAACTGTGGCACCTTATGGCGCATTGGAAGCTAAGCACTGTGATCAATGTATCTTAGTTCCGGTTGGGGAAAAATGTTGCACCGGAGAACAGGGGAACGAAAGCCAGGTGTTAGTATATAGGGAGGTCGGCGAGGCGAGATTCCCGGCTGCAGTGGAGATTCACGTAATTTTTTCCGCAGTCCCACCCATCGTTTCGGAGAGGCAAATCTTCCACAATGGGTGCCTCTCAGAAAACCAGCGACCCCAAATCGTCCCCTGAAACACTTTTGCCAAGGAATTTTAATTAACAAAGGCGCAACTCATTCCCCTTCTCCTTCTTCTCCTCCTTCTCCTTTTTGTCTTCACCTCCGCCTTTGCAGAGAGAATGCCAGACAGAATGCCAGATAGAATGCCAAACAAGATGTCAGAATATATGTCAGATAGAACGCCAGAAAGAATGCGAGATAGAGTGCCAAATAGAATGTCAGAATAGATGCCAGATAGAATGCCAGAAAAAATGCCAGATAGAATGCCAAAAATAGATGCCAGATAGAATGCCAGAATGAATGCCTGAAAAGATGCCAGATAGAATGCCAGAAAAGATGCCAGAAGGAATGTCAATGCCAAATAGAGTGCAAGAAAGAATGGCAAAATATGAATATATATATGCCAGAAAGTATGTCAGAATAGATGTCAGATAGAGTGCAAGAAAGAATGCCAGATAGAATCCCAGAAAATACGCTAGATAAAATGCCAGATAGAATGTCAGAGTATATGCAAGAAGGAATGTCAGAACATATGCCAGATATAATGCCAGATGGAATGTCAGAATATATGTATATATATATGTCATATAGAATGCCAGTTAGTGGGGATCACTGGAAGTAAGCAAGTCTTTGCAGAGGGCGGCATCATATCGTTTAATATTGAAGGCTACCCCATGTCAGTTCTGCGGCTTTGCACCTGCATGAGGCGCGCAATGAAGTGTGGGGGATGAAAAAGTGTGGACTCAAGGCTTGAAAGGGTAGATGCCCCAGGACCGGGGGTGGAATGTCATCAGGGAGTTGAAGGTGCTAGTCATGTTAAAGGAATTATGCATACCATATGTATGCACATCAAACATGGATGCTTCTATACTATTGCTGCTGATTTTCTGCTGTTGGTTGATCAGTTTGCCTATTCGAAGTGGATGATTCCCTGTTGCTGATTGCGGACCATGTGGGCGCCTTTGTTGGGCGAATGCTAGGCAATATCTGGGCAATGTTGGGTCTTCTTGGTGGTATCTTCGCAACTGCTGCGGAGTTGTCACACTTCGGATGTGCATTTTGATATCATTCTGATGACGTCTTAAAGGGCTGAAACGGCTGCAGAACTTGGGGTGAACGTGGGGCAAAATTATGGCATGTTTTTTGCGAGCTTGGGATAAACTTGGGGCCGTGTTGGGTCTATGTTGGGACTATGCAAGCTGATGGTGGACCATGTGGCCACCTTTGTTGGGCCAATGTTGGACGTGTTGATACCCGAAGCCTTTTTAAATGCCACGGAGTTGTCATGATGACGGTTCGAGGGCTGAAATGCACACGAAACTGGGGGTGAACGTCTGTTTGTGAAACATGTGGGCTTTTTTGGAGGTCTTGATAGGTCACTGAAACCTAATTATTGACATAGATCTGGAATAATTACAATGCTTTCCAAGCACCGAAAGATCATTGCTGGGTCGCTTGGGAGAGGGTCTCCTCAGTAGTGTCCTTTTGAAGTTGATATAAGTTGCGGTTGGTGTCAGCATGGTGCTTTCGTCCTTCCACATTTTTATGATATCAATATGTCGATATGATGTTTATCGAAGTGTCGTACATGTATTCAGTCTAAAGTTTCTACAGATTGACATGGTGCAAGGGTTTTGTTGGGGCGAACTCCCGCATAGAAAATCATGGTTGTTTGGTTTAACCATTTAAAAACAAGATGCAGCCCACGAACCCGAATGCAGTCACGTAGAACAATTTTGTGAAACAAGTTATTTGAACAGTCTTGTACATTTCCCCCCTCTTACCGTACCAGTGCGCTGTCGACTGTGGAATGTGGAATGGAGTATAGAGTGCAAAGTGTGCTGTGTGAAGAAAAAGAGTGTTGAGTGGGGAATGTAGCGTGTGGAGTGTAAAGTGGGTATTGCGGGGTGCGGAGTGTAAAGTGTAAAGTGTATGGTGTAAAGTGTGAAGTGTTGTGTGGAGTGTAAAGTGTAGAGTGCGGGGTGTAAAGTGCGGAGTGTGGAGTGTAAAGTGTGCGGTGTAAAGTGTAGAGTGTGGAGTGCAACTTGTGAAGTGTGGAGTGTAGAAGTGGAGTGTAAGGTGCGGGGTGTGGAGTGTAAAGTGTACAGTGTGGAGTGCGGAGTGTAAAGTGTAGCCTGTGGGGTGGGGAATGTCAAGTGTAGAGTGCACAGTGTGGAGTGTAAAATGTAAAGTGTAAGGGTTAGAGTGCGCAGTGTAGAGTGTAAAGTTCAGAGTGTGGAGTGTCCAGTATAGAGTGTACAGGGTGGAGTGTAAAGTGTGCGGTGTAAAGTGTAGAGTGTGGAGTGTAAAGTGTGGAGTGTGGAGTGTAGAAGTGGAGTGTAAGGTGCGGAGTGTGGAGTGTAAAGTGTGCGGTGTAAAGTGTAGAGTGTGGAGTGCACCTTGTGAAGTGTGGAGTGTAGAAGTGGAGTGTAAGGTGCGGAGTGTGGAGTGTAAAGTGTACAGTGTGGAGTGCGGAGTGTAAAGTGTAGCCTGTGGGGTGGGGAATGTCAAGTGTAGAGTGCACAGTGTGGAGTGTAAAATGTAAAGTGTAAGGGGTAGAGTGCGCAGTGTAGAGTGTAAAGTGTAGAGCGTGGAGTGTCCAGTATAGAGTGTACAGGGTGGAATGTAAAGTGTCCGGTTTAAAGTGTAGAGTGTAAAGTGTGGAGTGTAAAGTGTAAAGTCTGGAGTGTAAAGTGTAAAGTGTGGACTGTAGGTGTAGAGTGCAGAGTGTAAAGTGTAGAGTGTGGAGTGTAAAGTGTGGAGTGTGGAGCGTAAAGTGTGGAATGTATAGTGTGGAGTGTGGAGTGTAGAGTGTGGAGGGCCAAGTGTAGAGTGTACAGTCTGGAGTCGACAGTGTGGAGTGTAAAGTCCCCACACGCACGGCCATACGGCCCTCACGCGGATACTTGCGGACGGTTGCAGACGGTTGCGGACGGTTGCGGACGGTTGCGGACGGTTGCGGACGGTTGCGGACGGTTGCGGACGGTTGCGGACGGTGCGGACGGTGGCGACACGTCTAGCGAACACACCCTCAACCCCCAAACCCCCAGAGTGAAACGGGAACCCTGGCAATGCATTCGGGAAAAAAATCACATCTCAATGGCTTGAGGTGAAGTGGCCTACCATATCTAATAATTGCTTGAGCCTCCCGTCATTGGGCTGTTTTGAGGGAGCATTATGGAGCATTGACAGGAAACCATGGGTTGTATTATGTTGTATTATGTATAATTATTATGTTGTATTTCCAAACGGTTCCAAATTTAGGGGGTTCCTATTAGGTTGCAGATTTTCGCCTCGACCCGGCGCATTGCCAGGTCTTCGGCTTTCCTGGATACTGACCTCGCGCTCGAACTGTGTGCATGTGGCTCGCTGCAGGTGCCGATGAAATAAATCGGGGCATGGTTGGTTTATGTATTTACCGGTAGTACCGCACAAGGCGGTGGCGGAAGTTTCAAAAATAGGAAGCCTATAGGAGAGATTGGCTGTAGTGAATCAGGGATGGCAGAGCGAATCCACTGATGGACCGAAAGGTGCTTGAGGTCTTCTCTCTCTCTCTCTCTCTTTCTCTGACTATCTACTTACCTACCAGCCTATCTTCTATGTATCTATCTATCTATCGATCTATCTATCTCTCTCTTTCTCTCTTTCATCTAATTACCTATCTACCTATCTACCTATCTACCTATCTACCTATCTACCTATCTATCTATCTCTCTCTCTCTCTTTCATCTGTCTATCTGTCTAGCTGTCTATCTGTCTATCTATCTCTCTATCTGTCTATCTGTCTACCTGTCTATCTGTGGTGCAGTGTCATTCACTGTATTGTAGTGTAGTGTAGTGTAGTGTAGTGGAGTGTAGTGGAATGTAGTGTAGCGTAATGTAGTGTAGTGTAGTGTAGTGTAATTTCGTGTAGTGGAGTGTACTGGAGTGTAATGTAGTGTAATGTAGTGTACTGGAGTGTAGTGGTGTGTAGTGTAGTGTACTGTAGTGAAGTGTAGTGGAAGGTAGTGTAGTGTAATGTAGTGTGATGTAGTGTAGTGAAGTGTAGTGGAAGGTAGTGTAGTGCAATGTAGTGTAGTGTAGTGTAATTTAGTGTAGTGGAGTGTAGTGGAGTGTATTGTAGTGGAGTGTAGTTGTGTAGTTGTAGTTGTAGTTGTAGTGTAGCGGAGTGTAGTGTAATGTAGTGAAGTGTAGTGGAAGGTAGCGCAGTGTAGTGTAATGTAGTGTAGTGGAGTGTAGTGTAGTGTAATGTAGTGTAGTGTAGTGTA